CAGCGTGTGATCAGGGAAGGGAAACTGGGGAAAGCACTTTGTGCAGAGATGTAGGGTAAGAGCTGCAGGAGATGTGGAGTCCAGAGGAGGTTCCTAAAAACTGGAAGTATTCCGTCACGCCACGAGTCTGCCACGAGACTGCAAAGGTGGAAGGAGGCGGGCAGGGACAATTCCTACATCTCATGAGACCAGAAGGCAGAGGGCTTGGACAAAGCTGCAGTGAGTGTGTGCGCGCATGCGCGTGTGTGCGTGCCTGTGGACCATCTCTTCTGGTTCTATCATCTCAGTGAAATCATGTTTGTAAAAGCTACTCTCACACCACCCGTGGAAGTGTAAACCAGCCTTTGTTAGGCTTTTGGCTTGGCAGCCAGGCATATTCCTGCCCCCAGCCAGGGCTTCCTGGATGTGCCCAGAGTTCACAGAGCTGAACCGCCGGGCCTTCTTGCCGACTAGGGTAACGCCTACCAGGAAAGCCAGAGGTGTAGTATGTCCATGAAGTCACTGCAGCATGGGTTTTTAATAACTCTCTTCTATATAAAGTATAAATAATTTGCAAAATGTAACCTAGGGAGAATTTGCAAGCAAGCTATGTAAGTACAGTAGTTCATATCTCTCTGCTTTCTTTCCTTCCACAGGGAATGGGCTGCATACTGCCCCAAGATGGCTAGATCTAAGCATACCCAAGACAGTGGTGGACAGTGGTGGACAAGCACCTCCAGCAGTGCTGAAGCTCTGGGGGAAGGGAACTGGGGGGTAAACCTATGGCCTGTGCACTGGGCTACATCCCCAGCCCTATTTAAATGTTTTTTGATTGTTTAAATTTTGTATAGAAGTTAACTTTTTACCTTTTTTTTTTTTGGCAGTACTGGTGATTGAACCTTGGGCCTCACATATGCCTGGCAAGTGCTCTGCTACCAAGCTGCCTCCCCGGGAGAAGTGAATGTTTTAAGCGTTCAGCCTGCACATGGGCTTTGTGGTTGCCATGTCCTTCTGAGATACTCCTTTCTCCCTAGAGCAAGAATCACCACTTCTTTCCCTGGACTGATTTGTACGACTCTGAGGGCCCCCACCTCTCTCCCTAACTCAGGGACTAGGTCCTTTCTGCTCTCCTAAAATAACTGCTGTGAGGACATAGTTCACTTTTATAGAAACCCCATCCCTCCTTTCTTTTCAGTCGGGGAAGAGCAGCCTTACTACCTCTTTTCAAGACAAAAATCTTTGTTATTCCCCCTCTGCCTTTTGAAGTCAGTAGCTGTTATGCGATAAAATAACAGAAGTCCTCCTTAACCTGACTAAAAGAACTGGAAAGGCAAAGGGGTGATGGCTGAGGATTGAGACTCTTAGAGCACCAGTAACACAGTGTCACCCTGCAGAAAAGTCAGTTTGCAGGAGTGAGCAAGAGACTTGTATGCACTTGGACCCATTGATCCAGTAGTTCCTCTAATACAATCAAAGCCAGGCACAAAGATTTCTATTCATCACAATGTTGGTCCCAATTATGAAAAGCTAAGAGTAGCAGCCACATCTGGCAGGGCTTGGCCAGATAAAGTCTATTACTGATTCTTATGCAACCATTCAAAATCATGTTTGATAGTCAGGCATGGTGGCCTTCATCTTCGGTCCCAGCTAGTTGGGAGGCTGAGGTGGGCGGATCCCTTAGCCCACAACTTCTGGGCCAGCCTGGCCAACATAGTGAGATTCTATCTTTTAAAAAATCATACTTAAGTTTATTATGTGGGAAAGTATTTATGTTGATACTAATTTAAAAAACAAAATATAAAGTTATATGGGTGTTATGATTGCAAATCTTTTTTAAAATTTTTAAACAACATCAGTGTTAAATAGTGGTTATCTCCAGGAGGCAGAATATTGTATAATTTAAATGTTTAAATTTAAAAATCTTTATTTTTATATTTTCTACAATATCTTGGTGTTTTATAATCATGAAAGGTATAGAAAATATAAAGAAAACACACTGAAAGCTGAATAACCTTACCTAATTTTGAGAAAAAGAGTACAATTAAATTTTTTTGTTTCTATCTTAATAAATGAGGAAATACAGGGTAAAAGAGTACTTTTCCTGAGGTGCCTGTTTTACAGTTGCTGTGGCTGCATCGTGCATGCCTGGAGGAGCTCTGCTTATTGCCTAACCACAGGCATCCACCACAGACCTTCAGAAGACAGTGTGGGTCCCTGTGGAGGGACCTTCTCTAGAACAGAAATTGGATATTTCTGAATTTGCTAAGACCTACCTCTCTCACTTGCTCTCAGATCAGCGTGCTCTTTGGAGTAGCCCAAAATGAGGCTGCCAATGCAGCAAGTTAAGCAAACAGCACTGCAAGTCAAGTTCAAACTGCAGTGGTCCCTATGGGTTGGTGAACAGGGATGAAACTGGAGAGGAAAGTTGACTTCTGAGTTGGGCTAGACTGCAGGAAGGGACATCATCTATAGTTTGGTGTTCTCCAAGGTGGCTCTCGGAGTCAGCTTGCCATGTGCTCACCTATGGATGTTACTTTCCAGGGGCAGATGTGTCTCTTTCCCTGGACACTCAGGGACACCACTTCAGAGAGAGAGAGAGAAAGGAATGGAAAGATCAGGAGACCCTGCATGTGTTCCGGGTACAGTGGATTGTAAGGGCTGATAGCTCTTCCCAGTAACCTAAAATATAGATTGTTTACCTTTCTGGTGACAGAGTCCTGAGGAAGGAGAGTCTCTCTTATAATGTCTTTGAAAGAACACAGAATGAGCCGGAAGTGAGTAGGAGTATGTGGAAAGGACACAGCACTTTGCCCAAGCCCTGGGAAGCCCCTGGATGTGGCCATCCTTTACATTTGCCCTGTCCAACTGAGGTTGCAGTGGCAGTGACCTCTGGGAATCCTGTATCTGCTGCTGCTGATTCTCCATCTGTTGACACCATGTGTCATTAGAGATACCAAAGTCACAGAACATCCACTGCCAAAAGCTGTGCCATACAGGTCACACTTGTCCATGTAAATGTGGCTGCTGGTCATCTGCCTGAAGACCTTCTTTCCAGGGTTTCTCTGCCACCTACCTGTGCTCTTAGCTCCTAGAAGCCAAAATGGCCCCTACAAGGAAGGGGGTGGTACACTGGAAATCAAACATCTGCCTTTTCCAATAATTCACTGTGAGATCTTGGGCCAAGCTCTGCCCCTAAGTGGCTTTTTTTCCTCAGCTACAAACTTTGTGTTTAGATGAAATTATCCCTGTCCACAGAGAAGTCTGTGATTTGGGGACTAAGAAAAGTAAAGACAAGGTAGTTTGAGTTTCCTTGCTGAGAAAAGCTGATGAGGAAAAGGACAGAAGCAATCACCACCATTTATTAGTTATTGGCTTGCTTGGCCATCTTGAGCTTGGTGGAAGTTGGCTACTAACTCCTCATATCCCTAGGAAGCTGCACTGCTTTTATCCCTGTTTTCCTGATGAGGAAACTGAGCCTAGGGGTTAAGTAACTCACACGAGATCATACGGTGACTATGTTGGGGCTCATTGTGTGTCTTTGGCCTCTCGAGTCCACCATGTTCCTCTGCTTGGGGAAAGTTCAGAGGCTTTTCAAATGTGCCTTCCTCTATTTAGGCACTGACATCCTTGCTGTTTGGGTTTTTTCCTACTTAGTAAGATGAATGGGAGAACATAGGAGTCTTATGAGGCAAACTTAATGTTCTTCTGGAAAGATAAGTGCCTCCCTTCTTTTATTTCTCAAGACAAAATCATTATTTCCTCTCTCCTGGGGAATCAGAAAATAGATTAAACTCCAATTCAAAGTCTCAACAGTTGGAAGGAGGATCAGGTCACCATGGAGCATCCTGTGAACACCGAGGGGAAGCACACCCCTCCACTGGTTGTTTGGGTCCCCATAGCTAACAACCCAGAACCACAAGATTCCTCCCCCTACTCTGCTCCCAGTGTCTTTCAGTGTCTGCATGATGATTATTCACATGGTAAAAGCCTTCATTTACACATGAAATTCCCTCAGCCTGGACCACACTCGCTTTGCCTGTAAAACCCCTCCTCTGTCAAGACTCAGGTCAGATGTCACCACCTCCGTGCTGGCACATAATGCAAACCATGCTTACATGCTATGATCAAAATATACGGCGAATGTTTCCATTAAAAAATATTACAGAAAAAGGCCCATTGCCATGAATCCCCCTCAGTATACCCCCCTCCCTTATCTCATCATTCTCACTACTCTCTGCTCTTCTGGAAGGAAGCCCTCTTTCGCAAATGTCTTTATGAGGTGTGGGCAAAAATATGACTGCTGCCACCGAGTGTCATCCAACAGAAAGGCAGGCTTGTAGAAACGTTATAGTGTGTCGGTGCCGGGGTTTTAGCTCAGTGGCACCGTGCCTGCCTTGCAAGTGTAAGGTCCTGAGTTCGATCCCCGGTACCAAAAAAAAAAACCCCCAAAACAAAAAAAGTATTACAGTGTGTCCTTCACAAGATCTGGTGCCATACACCTTCCGGCTCTTCCTCAAAGTCAAAATGACCGTGATAGATATAGGTAAACATTTTGTGTCCAGTCAGGACCTCAAAGCAGCCACAACAGCACAACTAAAGACACTCACGGAAGAGGACTTCCAGAACTGCTTCACAAGTAGCAAGAATGATGGGATAAATGTATTTTAGTGAGAGAGAGAGTATTTTGAACAGGACTATGACAATATATCATTACTGTAATAAATTTTTTTAAAAAATTAACATTCACCATATTTTTCAATCACATCTCATATTTATTCACTTTTCTCTTCCTTTAAATGGTAAATCATTAGGGCAGAGGCATGATCTCATTGCCTTTGAAATAGCTCTGGACCTGAGCTTACATGTTGTGCGTAATATGTGTATAAAGGCTTTATGATAAACTAATTTCACATGTATGAACCAAGAACTAAATGTTCCCATACCTATGGCCCAGTTATTCCCCATAGGAAGGAACTAAATTTCTAAATGGAAATACTTGAGCAAGGGGAAAATTACACAGATGAAAGTGATGTAAAGTGTATATTTGTTAAATATTGGCAACAAGTTAAATGTTTATCAGCAGAGCAATGGTGAGTAAATTATGGTACATGGTCTTGAGGAAACACGATTCATTCTTGTTCATTAAATGTACCAACTGCTGAGAGTGCCAGGTGTGCAGCAGGGAGCAGATGCTGGATCTTCCCCAGTGAGTGTACACCTGGTAGAGTCTTCTAAAACGATTAATACACAAGAGAGCTATTTGGAACCTAACGTTGAAAAAAGTAGGTTATAAAACTGTATATCATTATGGTTGGCACTCTGAGCACATGCTGGGTAAATGCAGGCGTGATTAGACCATAGGTGACATTTTCTGTAGCACTATTGTGATTGTCTCATGAGCTCTGAAGTTTTAGACCATCCCCAGTGTTGACTGAGACAAGAAAACTGCTGTCCTCACCTGGTTCTCCATGGTGGCAGTGGCGAGAGTAATGGAGACTTTTTCCAGATGGGTGGGGGTTCCCATGAGGTGACTAGGAGGGGATACCCAGGGCAATGTGAGAGGCTTGGGTCAGGTAAGGTGATTGATCTTTTGACCTAGGTGCTCCTTGAGTACTGCAGTAGGAGCCAGTGACCTCTGTATCTGGGCTGTGTCCTGCAGGCTCCTCCTACACCATCACCACACTTCTGGTCAGAGTGCAACACCACCAGGAGTGAAAAAGCTGAAGTCTGGGAACCAAACTAGAAGGTTAGGACTTGCAAGAGTGGCTGGTTTTTCATGATGGAAAGGGTGTTCCCTGTTGAAAGTACCCTTATTCCCTGTCCACAGATGAGTAAATGGAAGCTCTGTTGGCCCCAAACTACCCAGTAGGCAAGCACCAGAGTTGGGACTGGAAGCCATTCCTTCACTTTGGGGCAGGGTTCTTTCTATTTCTCCCTCAGGGCTTGAGAACAGGTGGAAGGAGGTGTGTGTGGTCGTATGGAAGAGACCCAGCTGACAGGGAAGGTGAGATCCTTGGGAAGGTCTCTCTCCCTCAAAGGAACTCCTTTGGAATCTGTAGGTTGGACGGCATGGCAGAGAGCCTCAGAGGCCAAGGTTTTGAGTGTGGACTTGATGTAGCAAGCAGTGGAAAGCCCTTGCAGGTTAAGGAAGAAAGGGGTTTAATGAAGAGGAAGTTGGCAGTGGATACTGCCTCAGGTACACAGTAAGGATAGTGTGTCGCTCTTATTCTGTCTGTTCAGAACAGTATTCACCCTTATAACTTCTTGGAGATACGTCTTCCTCAACTTCTAATCATGAGTTTGGAGTAGAAGCTTCTATTTGCTATGCCCTTCTTTGTGGATACCACCACCTTGTCCAAAGATGGGGCCAATACCATCTTAACAGTCAGAATCCTTCCCTGGGAATTTGACCTTGGGACCAGAAAGGAATAGGTTTCAGTCCCCCTATGGTGATAAAGCTGTGTTATGTGAGCCTGGAAGATCTGTCACTACTCAGAGATTTGAGCATCAGTGAGAGGAAACTCTAGTTAGATTCAGGTTCTGGTTTCCACTCACTCTGAGGGCTCGGCCATCCCCTTGCCCATGTCAAAATGTGAACAGTTCTCACCACCATCTCCCCGCCTTTTTTTACCACACCTTTTTTTTTTTCATATCAGGGATTGAACGCGGGTCCTTTCACTTGCAAGGCAGGCGGCAAAACCACTGAGCTAAATCCCCGGCACTTCCACACCTTTTTTAAACTAAGCTAGTCTGGGTTGTACTTTCATCATCTTTAAGCAAAAAGGTCCTGACTTTCCAGAAGAGACACATATATCCTCTATCATTCAAGTTTTAAGCACAATTCTTGAAAAGACTTGGGTTGTTTTGTTAGTATTAAGTCCATATTTCTTGCATGTAAAAAACAACAACAAAAATTGATCGTCCTTACTCCGTGTCAGCTTCAGGAACTCTGCATTCTCATGGAGACAGGCTTTGGGAATCCTTTCAGAGAAGGATGGACGCATCTCCATCACTCGTGGAGTGAGTAAAATTGCTGCTCAGGATGCTCCCTTGCCTGCTTTTTTGTGACTCTGACCTGGAGAAAGTGACATGGACTGAACGACCGCACAGGACCACCATGCATTTCCTGTATAGGTGGTAAAGGTATCTTCTGAACTTCTCTCCAGCAAATGCATAGATAAGGGGGTTGAGGCAACAGTGGCTAAATGCCAAAGTCTCGGTCACATTGAGGGCCAACTTCAGATTCCTTTTCGGATCACAACCAGGGAAGAAGTCATAGAGTTTGAGAGTTTCCAGGAAAATCATAATGTTGTAGGGGGTCCAGAAGAGGAAAAACACAATGACCACCAATAAGATGAGTTTGATGGCTCTAGATTTCTTGTGGTTCTTGCAGGAAAACAGTGTCTGGATGATTCTGAAGTAGCAGAAACTCATGGTGATCAGGGGCAGCAGGAAGCCAAGAACATTTGCTTCCACACTGCGGAGCACAGGCCAAATTTCCTGAAGGACCTCAGGGTAGTCACCCAGGCATTCTTTTTCTTTCTGTTTTGTGAACATGAACTGGGGCGCTGCCACCAGGATGGCTGCTGCCCAGACGCCGAGGCTGATGGTGACACCATGCTGCACGGTCCGGTTGTTCATGGAGTTGGCTGCCAAGGCGATGGCCAAGTACCTGTCGATGCTGATAATGGTGATGAAGAATACGCCCCCAAAGAAGCCGATGAAGAAGAGGGCAGTCGTGAGTTTGCACACTGCGTGGTGGAAGCCTTCCTCACTGACCAAATAGTGAGTCCAGAATGGCAGTGTGGCCACGAACAGCAGATCAGACAGGGCCAGGTTCAGGAGGTAAATGTCAGTGATGCTCTTGGACTTCTGGCTCCTGGTGAGGGCAAACACCACCAACACATTTCCCACCAGGCCAAAAGTAAAGATCAGGGAGTAAAATATGGACAAGAAGGTGGTCCCAAAGGCTACGATGTCCTCTATTTTGCAGGCTTCCGCAGACTCGTCATACTCAAAGTACTCTGTGGTGGACTCAGGGTAGGAGGTGGGCATGGTGCAGGCCTGGATCAGAAGAGAAAACAAGTGGCAGTGTTAGTGCTCCAAGGAATAAATGTGCAATTCTATCTGGTCCCATACAGAGGCAAGAAGGAAGGGATAAACGCTGGTTGGGTGGCTACTACCTCTTCCACCAGCACATGCACCATCTTGTTAATCCCCACAGAAGTTTTGGGACTGCAACAGATGCCTTGGGCTGAAGAGGCAGTCAGGTCCCTGACAGGTTCAAAGAAGTCTCTGAGAGGACTTGACCAGAGCCTCAGTGAATGGCTCAGCCAGCCTTTGGAGTGTGAGAGAGGACTCTTGACTCTTCAAGTCTCTCCAACGAGTATCTAGCTTGACCAGTGTGTGGAGGTTGCAGGGAGGACCAAGGGCAGAAAATGAGTAGGATGACAGTAGGGAAGGATTCCTCCAGCCCAAACTTCCCCAAAGTAATTATCCTCTTCACTTCCACCTTGTCCAACCTTGCACCCTAGTTTCTTCTCCACAGCCCTAGGGGAAGAGAAAGCATTGTCGTGATCTAGGGCTCTGCAGTTAGAAGGGCCAACTGATTCAGGCTCCAGTGGTTAATTCACCTGGACATGACCAGCTCTGGAAAAGGAGACATTTCTGCATAGCTTGGGCAATAAAACACATCCCATTCCCAGCCAGGGTGTTTTGGACATTTATTCCAAAGGTGACACTTGAGGCAGCCTTTGCACACACAGGCCCTTTCAGACACTCATCTTAGTTATGATGACACACTTCTTAGTTATCACTGTCTCCTTCCTCATCAAAACTGAAAGCAAAGCTCACAGTTCTTTACCAAGGGAGTTTCCACAACCCACTGCACCCTGTTCATGACCGTTCTGACCAGGCAGTGTCTTTGTCGTGACCAGGGCTCACCCAGCCATGGCATTGTGTCTCCCTGCCCAGCTTCCTCTGCAGTGAACTGGACTAAGGTGGACCACCTTGCCCACCTTGGGGTGTAAGGAGGCTCTCAACTCCAGGCAAACTGCATGGGTTGTTGGCTTCAGGCTGCAAGGACCCTTTTTATGGAGCAGAACCTCAGGCTTTGACCTTAATCAATAACATCAAAGTTGATCAGTACACAGTGGCTGACCTGTAGCTAGTTTTTGAGCTCTACAAGCCTCGGTTTCATGTGTCTCAAGGGGAGACAGCAATTACTACTTAGTGCTTGTAGCTTGCTTGGACCATCATCTTCCCAGGGGTGCTCCTGTGTGACAGCAGAAACAGTCAAGACCTTGCAGGCTGAGTGAAGGACCCTAGGTTAATAAATGCTAAGCTCACTTCCTGCATTGGGGGAGGAAGCCCTGTGGGTCTCTGGACTGTCCAGGCTGCCTGTGGACTCTCTTGAATCAGCCCAACTCTGGGCATCCTGGACATTTTGTATTTAAAGGTTATTCTAATTTTCCCCTGGGGTGGGGCACTTTTCAGTTTATTTTGGAGGGGGTGGAGAGTGAGCCACTCCTTATGAAGCTTTTACTAAACTAGCCTTACAGTTAGACATTCCACATGCGTTTTAATCTATTTAATCTTCTCTGCAATTCTGAAAGGGAAGTCGTGTATCTAATTCATTGCTGCTGAATGGCTCCAGGGATATCTGAGAGGAGGAAAAGAGGAATGCTGGGACACAGTGTAGAGAAGACAAGGGTAGTTAGAAATAAGCAAGTGATTGCCTGGGTGAGCACCAAGGGAGTCCCAGATTCAGCCCGAACACTGGGCATCCCGCCTGAGATGCCACACATCCTGGGACACCTTCTCTAATTTGCACCAAGATTCCGGATATGGGGTTGGTCCTGGTTGGAGGAGCTCGACACCCAAGCAGCAAACATGTCTGAAATTTCCTGCATGGCCTGCTTCCGGATCGATCACTCCATCCCAGGCTCAGCCGTGAAGGGGCTTTCGTCTCAGTGAGGAAAATGCATGTGGATCAGCTTTGATTAAGGCAGAATCAGGGAAGTGGGCCAACGCACTCTCTTGCAGATGGGGTGCCACTGCAGATAACACTGAAGACCTGATGATCTCACCTGACTAGTGAGCACAGTATTTACTGAGAGCCAGTGGCTGGTCCTGGCTATCAGTCTGGATTGGGACTGCTCCCTGACTGCCAGTGAGGACAGAACAACATCCAGCTAGCCACCTTCTTCCTGGCTCCCTGGTGGCTCAGAGTCCCTAGTAAAGACCCCCCAAAATGTCCCAGCTCCCACAGGAGTCCCTCTCAGTGATGCCACAGTGCTATGCACATACTAGGTGATCACCCCACATACCATGGCCCCTGCTAAGAGCCACGCTGGACCACACTCCAGAGGGAGGAGTGGGGAGGATATCAACAGCCCCTCTTGCACCTCTAAGCCTCCTGGGGGGTGGGGAGGAAGATGGTGATGTTAAGCACTTTGCCCACTGCACAGCTAGAAGTGGGGAGCAGGGCTAAAGTCGAGTCCCTTGTTGTTCTCACCACATTCCTCCCTCCCTCCCCAAAGGTGAAGGACTGGGGATAAGAGGCAGGGACACAATGGCTACCAAACAAAGCAGAGGCCAAAATTGAGGGGTGAAAAGCCATCCAAGTGACCACCCCAGCCCTCACCCAACCCCCCAGCAGCCTTACAGGTTCTTTGGGAGCCTGAGAATGAAATAACACGTTTGCAAATTGGAGTTTATCCCAGAGACACACTCACACACATATTCAAGGGAGTGCAGGGACAGGGCTGCAGCAAGCTTGACAGAGAGGTGGTGGGAAACCACCCAGGGCCCATCTGCAGGGCCATGGTACATCTTCAGATTTGCACCAAACCATGGTGCATCTTCAGATTTACCCAGCACCTGCTTATAAGCTAAAACAAAGCCAGGGTTTGTAGATCTGTAAGTTCTGTTGCAGAATAAGCTCTGTGATATTGGTGAGTGGAGTCCCCCAGATATGGTATGCTGCCATTTGTGGAAAGGAATGCTATGTGTGTGTTGGGGTAAAGTCTGAATATCTCTGGAGCGACAGGCTAGTGGTGGTAGCCACAGTTACCATTGGAGGGCAGCTCTGGAGACCAGAAGATGGGGGAAAGGTGAGTTAATTTTTGCTGTAAACTCTTGAAATTTTTTTTTTTGTAATTGTTTCAATTGATCGACTTGGAAATTTAAAAATAAAAATATGTGAATTATTTGAGAAACTAAAAGAAATAAGTAACCCAGTACAAATAACAAGCACACTGTGCATGCTCCATAAGTAGCACCTGACACAGAAAAGGATTATCTCTGCTTTCTGTGCAAATAGGTGCACTCAGAGGGTGAGGAACCTGCTCAAGGCCACAGCTGGTTGGTGGCAGGGCTGCAGTTTGTGCAATGTATCCAGCTTCAGCACTTTCTTCATCTTTGCATTATGGCCCTCCCTGTCCACCTCTTGAAAAACTGGGAGACCCTAGGAACCATGTTCTCCTCAGCTCTGTAGGCCAGTGCTCAACAGAGGGAGAGGCCTGGCATAGAACAAATGAGGATATTTGTGAATATTTGTGGAAGGGTACACATTATGCCCTAGACCTTCACCCCAAAGGTTTCCTTGGGCATAATGATGATGGCACCTACTGCCCCTGGGAGCTCACGGGGAACACAAATGTCCTTTGTGGTCAAGAGGCAAAGGGCCCTTGAACTCTGAGAGCTCTGAAGGTGCCTGGTGTGTTGAAAGAATAAATGAATGAATGAATGAATGAATGGCCTAGAAGAGCAAGAAAAAAGATGCATCAGCTGCAAGAGAGCAGCACGGGCCACCCCTAACCCACAGTCAGAAATCAGTGTGACTGGCATGGCTTCCCATCCGTGCTGTTGGAGTTATCTGATTGTTGAACACTTCTCAGAACAATTTCAGCCCTGTCACTGAGGCAAGTGTTGAAAAATAGCCGTGCCAGGTTGCATGAGTCATGGGTGATGCATGGTTTTATCTCTCTGGAAAGAGACTTTGGTCTTTGTGCTCAAGCCAGGCCTCAGCAGGGGACAGCCCCAGACCTTCCAGAGCCCCATTTACATCAGAAACTTGACATCCCCACAGGACTTCCCCTTTGCCAAGTTTCCACTGAACTCGATAGCTTTAGCAAGGTGTCCTTTCAGGAAGTATGGGCCTGAGCTGAGTGGATTTTTTATTTCCACGTCTTCTGAGATGTTCAAAGATTGGAGGTGAGCCAAGAGAGGCCTCTCGGAAGCAGATGCCATTGTGGCCAGACCTGGACAATGCCTTCCTTTTGTTCCTGAGAACCAAGTGTAAGAATTCAACAAGATAAATGCTTGCAGTATCTTCTCATCTAGGTTCTGAATCCACAAGGGTTGCAAGAAGCAGACATTGGAGTGCACTAATATAGCTGAGGCGGCTCCTTGCTTCTCAGGGCAGTAGTCAGCAAGAAGCCAAGTCCCCACTAGGCTGTTTTCAGCTCTCTGTGCACTCTAGTTGGTTGAGCCCAAGGTTAACTAACTGGTGCTGAGATGAGAGAATCTGAGCTAAGCCTAGAAGCATAGCTTGATCAGGGTGTGTGTCCCATACCCAAGCGGAGATGATTTCTGTGTGACCTGCTTTATAAAACTCCCGCTCTCCTCCACTGCCCATCCTGGTGGCCTTCCTCTGGCCACTTCCTTTCCTCATGCCTGCTCATTTATTTTTTTAACTGTTTTCCATGGGTGGGGTAGGAAGCATCCTTACCCGTGTTTTCCAATCAGCTTGTCTTTTCTATACTTCCTCCTCTTTTAAGAGGTTAATCCATTTTCTCTTTCTATCTGACACCCTTTTTATGTCACTTTCCTCTTCTTTTGGCATCACATCCTGCTTACTGTTTTCCAAACCCAATGCATCATCTCTGTGTTTATTGCTTTCCTTGGTCCTTACTTTTGTTTTTTAAGTAAACCTTTGAGCGAAGTTTGAGTTTGGGGCCCAGTATAATGTCAAGGGACTTGTAAGGGTTATTATTTTTTTTTCTTAAAAGAAATTAAACTAGAAAATTGCTTGAGCTCTGATCCAAAATTTTTTTCTTTGGGGATGTCCTGGTTCTATTAGTGTTCCAAAATCAGAAGTTGCCCTCAGAAAGCCCCAGTTTAACCATGGGTCTTTTTTTTTTTCTTCAATGCTGGTGATCAGACCTAGGGCCTTGCACATGCTGGGCAAGTGTTCTCCCTCGAGCTACACCCCACCCCAAAAACCCTCAGTTTAGAAGAAGCAGAGGCTGCCAGCTGATATGCCTGCTAAGGTTATGCTCCATACGCAGTACCACTGAACTCTTTCCACAGGCCCAGAGGAGAAATGATAAGCAGAGGCTTGTAGAGGTTTGGTTAATGTGTCTGAGGAGGGAATACAGTTGGGATTTTAAGCCCAGATCCATCTCTGCACAAAGCTGTATTCCTTGCACTATGCAGTGGTATCCCACTTGGAGGGGATGTCTGCAGAATTCTATAGGCCACTTCTCTCGGACTAGGACTGACAAATAAGTAGGCACAGGCCCTCTAAAAAGAAGCCAGTCCATGATGCAACCCTGAAGTGGTTGAGTTTCTCCCTTCTGGAGTCAAAACCCAGCAAGCTGATCTTCAGAGAACAGTAAATAGAAAATGGAGAGGGAAAGATACCATTTTCCCCACTTGCTACCACTATGTGGTCCTCACTGCCAGCCTCCCAGAATCTACAGTGATTAAGGGGGGGGGGGTGGTAATTTTCTCTAGAGAAGAAAAGACTAAAGGCTGAAGGGTCGGCTTATTTTCTGCCTTCCCATATGTTACTGTGGTTTTAAAGGCTACATAGTTCATAGGGCCCTACACATTCCATGCAGTAATGTCTGAGAGACGCTGCTCTAGCTCTGCCTCAGTTTCATGATACATGAAATGAAAGCATGGGTCCGATTACCTGCAAGGGCTTTGCCAGCTCTGACATGCTCAATTCTTCCACAAGAATCAAACACAAAGAAGAGTTCTTAAAGACAGGCAGGAGTCTTAGATTAGAGGCTCATGAAGATGTGGTTTTCTGTCAACAGAATGGCTTCTCAGTAGCTTCTCAGGAAGCAGGAGGCTCCTGGGTGGCAGCCTGTGAGTGTTAGATGAGATTCTATTTGGAGACAGAGCTGGGTCTGTTGATCTCTTGCCCTGAAGAGTTTGAAGTTTACTTTGTACTGGAGAGGAATGTTTTTGGCCCACTGCCATGCCCACAGCCCTAGGTGCTGGGGAAGCCAAGTTTTACCAGATCCTGATGGTTTCCCCACCTAGGATGACAGCTATTTTTATGACACATTCCCCTCAGGATGCAGGGAGAGCTAAGGCTAAAGGCAGGTGAGTGGTCTTGAATTCCATGTCTAGGGGCTATTAGGAAAAATTTTACAACTTGCACTGAATGTGATGTAATAATGAGCTCATGTAAAACAGCATAGCATTGTCCCCCTCCAAGGCTTTATATGAGGCAAATGCATACATCCAGGCTACAAAACAACAAGAACAAGAGGAAACCATATGCAAGGCCAAGGCGCAGACTCCTTGGGGTTAGTGAGTTGCCCCTTTCCAAAACCTGTCATTATCTGGGGTTTGACACCCCCCTCCCTTTTCCTCTTTAAAGTACTTTATGGTATTTATTATTTCTGCCCAAGTAAACCGTAAAACTTTGAAAGGAAACACTTTACTACTTAAAAAAAAATAATTGAGGAGATGAACTTGTTAATTATTAATTAAACCAGTATTTATTGAGCATCTTTAGCATATGCTAGTGAAGAGAAAATAAAAATTAAATCTAAGAGGCTCAGCTTCTGTTGAAAATAAGACGTTTTCTTCACTTCTTTTTTTTCTTAGAGCATTTACTTTAGAAAACCTGAAAGTGCTTTCTCTTCTCTTGGAATGCAGATAAATCCTTTGGAAACTTGACAGGCCTTCTATCTGCTCTGTGATCTAGGAAGACCTTTCTCCAGGACCTGAAATGTAGGCAGCAAAGCCCTCTCTCCCCGTTTGTGGGGGAGGCAGGGGCCTAACTTCTGCAGGCTTCCTTGCTGCAGGCTACTAAACCACCTCCTGTCACCAAGACTAGAGAGGCTGCTTCTCCTCTGGATGAAGCCACTTGGCTAATGCGAGTGGCCCTCCTAATCATCAGGTCAAGTTAGGGTGAACTAGTGTGACAAATGGTGCTCTCCAGTGCTCTTACTGTTTGCCTTTCAAACATGGATTTAACGTGGTGTGTCTGCTTGGCTATAAAAGGATGAGGTTTCTTTCTGTCTTAACAGTCTCTTAGCAGATGGCCCAGGTTTGCACTGTTGAATATTCCATAATGTGTTATCATTTCTGCTGTTGATATACATGTGGGAGACTTTCAGTTTGGGGCAAATATGGACAATGCTGCCGTGTGTATCTCCTACGACTTAGATGCATTTGAAAAGCTCAATGTTGAGCCAAAGAAGCCTGACCAAAAAGCAGACCTATGCATGACCCATGTATGTGGAGATCAAAGATAGCAAAGCTAACCATGTTGTTTAAAGATGCATATTGAGATTGGCTCAAATGGAACCACAAGGACGAAATCACCCGAAAAGTTACTTGTAGGGAAAGAGGTTGTTGTTAGGCAGCGCCATGAGGGAGGCTTCAGGGTGCTGGCAAGGTTCTTTTCATTGGGCTGGATGGTTGTTAGGTGGGAGATTAATTTTAATAAGCTGTTAACCTGAATACCATTCTGATATTGCCCTTTCAGTGTATTATATTCAACAATAAACGTAGGCTTAAGGTAAGAAACAAAGGCAGACTGGAAAGACACTTCAGGAGATGTAACACAGATTTTTCCCCCCTCATAATCCAAAACAGTTGAACTTTGGCCAAATAAGAAGATGAAGTACCCACTGTGACCAGAGACCACAAAAATTTCCCCCACAGGGCAGTGGGCCTAATCTGAAATCCTCTCTCCTGCCCAAGAGGAGAGTCAGCACCAAGATTCAGTTGGAAGGTGCCTTTCCCAGATGGCATGAGTGACAAGGGTCCAGCCTTGTGGAACCCCCAGGTGCTTGGGAAGGAGAACAAGGCCATAGGAAAGGCAGCCTACATCTGGGCTCCACCATCCTGGGTACACAGAATTATGTGGCTGTGATCTTCCTGAGAAGCAAGTTCTCCTCCCTGCGTAGCTCATCCTCCACAGGTACTGGTTCTGAATATCTTTGGGCTCAGGGCTCTGCATCAGAGTTGGGCTGGGAGGAGAAGCTGGAGGACCTGGATCTGGGAGCAAGGTCCTTTGAGGCCGAAGTCTCTGGTTGGGGAGGACTGTGCCCAACATGGCTGCCCTTCCACAGCCGACCAGGTCGGGAAGGGAATAGAAGGCAGTTCTTAACCGGGTCAGCTCTAACACTTTGGATTTCTCAGAACCTCCTTTGAAAGCAGTCAGGGAACTTTCTAAGCCTCAGTTTCCCATGATAATAACATATATTGTTTTTTGAGCACCAAGAGTATGCTTGGGACTTTATATCCCTTGTTCCTGATCCTTAAGGAAAGTGAAGACAATGCCCATTATCACAGGAGGAAGGAGACTTCCCAAGGTGGAGCGCTCAGCACAGTTACCAAGGGTGAAGCCAAGACTTGGCTGCCAAGGGAAGCAGCCACTGTAACCTCTCTGTGAAGTGGGACAGCCGAGCAGCAGGGTTGGGGGCAGAGTTTCTTTCTGGAGACCGTGCTCCCTCCCAGGGGCCAGGGCAGCGCCATGTCAGTCTGAGGGCCATCAGGGGTCAGGCTGAAGCTGGGCTGAGACTGCTTCCTGCCCTGCATGCCTCAGTGACAGTACAGTGGCCTGCAGGTGAAAGATGAGGACTCATTCTGGCCTTCCTGGAGCCATTCCTCTCTTCCAGGGGGCCTCAGCCCCAGGCCCTGCCCCTGCCCTGTCCCACAGGGGCCCCAAGGCTCAGCAACCCAGAGGCCTCTCCTTCCCTGCTGCCTCTCAGGAGCCTGGCCCCTCCAGCAACAGGTGCTGAGCAGGGAAGTCTCCTGGCCTTTCACACAGTTCAGGGTTCTCCTTCACTTTGGGCTTAGTTTCTGCCTTAAGTTTTGTACCTCAAGTATTTGAGAAGAAAAGACAAGGAAAGAAAAGAAAAGAAAGTCCTTCTTTAGGGAGGGGAAGAGAACCCTAAAATTCCTCTCCTTTTCCTGGACTCAACTGTAAACTCACAAACCAGGGCTGGAGGACTGAGGCTGTGATCTCCACAAGCCCCGAGCAAAAGCAAGCAGCAGCCCATCAGCCGGCTTCCAAAAACATCCTCCTGTCTTGCTATCAGAGTTTCTTTCCAAAGGCTGTATTTCCCAATGGCTCAAGCTTTCTGAACCCAGGTGTCCTCATGAGAGTTATAAGAGCATATACCGAAGTTGAACAATGAATTTATGCCAGTAGCTTATTAATTAAAACAGTTTTTATTATAAATGCAATACATGCTCTTTATAAAGATTGTAGCTAGAGCTGGGCACGGGGGCACATGCCTGTAATCCCAGCACCCTGGAGGCTGAGGAAGGAGCATCGTCTCCAGTTCAGGGCCAGCCTGGACTACATAGGGAGACCTTGACACACGCACAAAAAAATCAAGGCTGGGGATTTAGCTCAGGGGCGCTGTGCCTCCCTGGCAAGCACAGGTCCTGAGTTCAGTTCCCAGTACGGGGTGTGAGTAGGGGGAGAAGAGATTGTAGATGGCACAAAAAACATCCTAGAATCAGGCACAGTGATCTTTTAGCTTCTCAGCACCTAATCTTTGTACATATTTTATATTTATATTAAGTACATTTATATTTGTAGTAAAATGCCAATGTCATCAAAATACTTTTTATTTTAAAATTTTCAAACATATTCAAAAGTAGAGAGAATCTTTTGGTATCCATCACCCAGTTTTAACTATTAGCCATAAAGGGTCAATATTTCATATATTCCCCAAGTCATGGCCTCATTGGATTATTTAATTTCATCCATAAACTTTTAGATGTAGGCCTCCAAAGGCTAATGATTCTTATACAAAACATCAATACTATTTCTCATCTTAAAAAAATAATTATTCTTCATTATCCACCAGCTGCAATTTCATATCATGCTTCTTCAGTCAATGACAAGTCAAGCTTTTCTCCATGTCCTTAACATGTAATTACTCAGGCTTCTGATCATGTTCCATCATGTTAGGAGGCAGAGTCTCATCCCCACACATCCCGCTCCCCTGCTTCTTGAATCTATTTAGGCTGCAACAGCCTCAGGAAAATATTCTGCAGTGTGGGCGTAGACAGAAACCACACCACTACCCTACTCCAACTGCTGGGCCCGCCCCACCTGCCCGCAGGCACCTAGCAGTCCCCGTGCCTACCTGGGGCAGACGGGAAGGGAACCTCAGGATGTGCCACTCAGCCACCCTGTCCCACGAAGACTCCACCAGTGACGAGCGTTTCCCTTTCCTTCTCTCTGAAGGCATCTTTATTGCAAAATTAGCCAATAGCATCTGGTTTCCTGTGAGGTAAACCATCTAGATTCAAGCAAGCTTGCAAGTGCCAGGCTGGAGACCAGCTGGCCACAGGAGGCTCTGAACTGAATCCTGGAAGACTGGAGCCCAGGGCACACCTGGTCTGGGGCTGTGCCACCACCCCCCCCATTGGGGAAGGGCCTGTGGGTGGCGCAGCACAGTGGGCACCTTCAGGTGAGCTGTGGGAGCTCACAGAGCCTCTGCTTTCCTGCCCAGAAAAGGTGCCCACAGTATTCCCTGGTCAGCACTGGGGCTGTAGCCTTGCTCCTCACAGTGGTCCGGGGCGCCGAACACCCCGCGCTGACCCCACTGAGTCAGTACCCACATCTGTGTGAGCTGCTGGGAGACGGGTGTGCACCCTGAGCTGCAGGAGTGAAGGCCTCCCAAGGGTCTACAGTGTGACATCTGTCCATAGAGGAAGTTCCCCACCACTTTCCTTTCTTTGATTCCTCCTGGCCTCAGGGTTGGAGGGTTGGGGCACCTTTCCCTGTAAAGGCTCAGTATGCACACTCCCACCTTCCCTCCACCCTGGTCTTCCCACCGCAGTACCCGTTCCCCGGCCCTGGCCATGTCTTAACTCCTTCCACCCCTCCTGGTGCTCCTTTCAGGGATCTGGCCAAGACTCTGCTTCCCTTCCTATCCCACACTGGCCCACTACGTGCCAGTGACTTGCATGGGAAAGGTCTCCACTACCCCAGGGCCTATATGGCTTCTCATGCCCAGGCAAGTCCTGTCCACCTCTCTCTTTCCCCTCGCCTTTCTTCCTTGAACATTGTCCACCCAGAAACTGGAGAGCTCTTCCCAAACCCCACATCTGCCAATGCAAAACCTCCAATGCTCTTTATCCTCATTCTCCCCTCTGACCTCTTCCAATTCCTCCCAATGCCATCTCCTGACCATGCAGGAGCCAGGCTCTCCTCCTTCCTCACCTCTCTGGCTGTGGGAGCTTGATTTCACCCTCTCTTTCTGAAGCTAACAAGCCAGCCTGGTCTGCTGCATAGACGCTGCAGCAGATAGGACTGAGGCACAGCAGGCAGGCTGGGCCTCTGCTGCTCCTGTCAGTTCCCTTGCCCAGTGCACTGGGCGATGCCTGAGTACTGTGTGTGGGAGCATCGTGGAGAGGACCTGAGCCAGGAACATGCTGCTCTACTGCAAGCAGGAAGCAAGCCTGCTCTTCAGCCCTGAGGGGGATGGCTTCCTATCCTCCTAAGATGTTCTCAGCGAATGACCCTGAGAAATGGACCAAAACAGGAAAGGTTGGGTCCCTGCATTCTGGGCACATTCAGAGAGACAGGAAGATCCCTGGCGGCCTTTGTACTCCGTCCCTGCCTCCACAGGCCTCTGTCAAGGGATCTGTGGCTCTGCCTGGGGACTCCCTCCTCCTGGACCCCTGCTCACCCTGCTCAGTGCTCTCATCCTGGTGCAGCCTCATTCCTTATGTCTCATCTCCAGCTCTCTTTTGGCCCAGCCCCTTTGGCACAGTCCTTGTTGGAGCTGCTCCCTCAGTTTCTCTTCCAGGTGAGGCAGTCAGTGCAGGTGGCGACCTGCTTTCTGTGGGCAGAGGAGCAAGGCTGTGGTGGGCTGACTGAGGGGAAAGAGCCAAGGCACGGAGGCCATGAGGATGATGGGGACAGGCAGGCAAGGGCTGGAGTAATGCTCTGTGGGAGCAATGACACAGGCACGGGACAGAGGCATTAGGCTACGAGTCAACCTTGAATTCCAGATATTTCTAGATTAGATAGTTCTATGTTATGCTATGTGCTCTGGAAGCTCTGGGGAAAACCACAGCAAATAATTATGCAGCACTATGTATCAGAAGGCGATCAATCCTTGGACTGTCTAGAAAGGGGGACAGCGAGGGCTAAAGAAAGAACGACAATAGACTTGTGTAACTTCAAAGTACTTGGGGGCCAGGAGGTCAGTGCCTCAGAGTGGGCAAAGATGAAGATCCTCCGAGCTAGCCAGTATTTATTGGGTGCACACAATAGTTAGAGAGAGCATCAGGTAACTTAGCGGTGGCAGTAATCCTATGTTGATGAGGATCTTATCCTAATTAGGATCTTAGGTCCCGGGGATCTTATGTTGATGAGGTCTGTAGGGAGAGCATTCTTACAATAGTAGGTGGGATGAAATAGCAGATTAATAAAGAATTGTCCTTTCCCCTGGGGGAAATCTTTCTGCTTTTTTATTACTGCTCTGTTAGAAGAACCAGGATGTCTTTCCTTTTTTTTTTTTTTTGGTACCGGGGATCGAACTCGGGTTCTTGCACTTGCGCAGCAGGCTGCGAAACCACTGAGCTAAATCCCCAGCCCAGAACCAGGATGTCTTCAGCTGATGTACTCTTGCCCTTGAGCGCCACAGCATTACGGGACCATTAAGCCTCAGCTGTGCCTAGTGGCAAAACAGACTTATGTTTCCACATGCCATAGCCAGCTCAAGGGCAAGGTGACATTGGGCCTTAGACAGCTATAGTCACACTCTAATTATGAAATGATTTTCCCCAAAATTATGTAGAATGGTTCCCAACAATTGTGTGTGTGTACTGGGCAATATTTTAAGTCCCCTGCACAAGTGAGCTTCTGTCCTCCCTCCCTCCATCCCACAAGGCAGGCACCACACAGCTCATACATAGCACCTCATACAGCTCATACATGGTAGAGCCAGGAGATGAGTGTGGCCCTGGGGTTGCT